CAGGTATTATGTGTTTTTTGTTTGTTTGTTTTTGTTTTTGTTATCTTTACCTCTTTTTCCTGAAAATTTAGATATAGATGTTTTGCAATTTTTCTTCTTGGTCAATTATCTTCAAGTATAACTCAACATTAGCATTAACAGAATTTTTGAAAATTTCACTTAGCCACAGCTGAAACAAATGGTCTCTGATGAATTCTTCCTCGTTAGCTGCTGGGTAGGCAGCACTTGGCTTTCTCAGGCATGTTATCCTGTGGAATCCAGTGGTGTGGCTGTTCTTTACCCTGTCAAAACCCCTCTGCTGTCTCTGTTTCTGTTTAAAGTGGCTAAAGGAGGGTCAGCAGAATTACATGTTTGAGAATATACTTGAAAAGAATAATCAGGCTTCTGGGAAGCCTAGTGGCCCAAGGTTGGACAATATTTTTACAGTTAATATTCCCTTAAAAAAAAAAAGAAGTATTACCTCTGTGGGTTAAGTCAGGCTGAATACTCAGATCTTTCCATGTGTTTTGGTAAAGAAGACAGATATGAATCCCTCACAAAAGTGTGCTGTTATTCCTCTTAGCTGTAGGAGTCTACTCTGTATAGTTTGGAACAGACTTTGGGTAGTCATTTCAAAATCTAAGTCTGCACGCTTAAAGTAAATATTTCTGGGTTTTCAGATCACCAAGTATATTCTCCATTTGGTATCCAAAATCACCTTGCACAGACTTCATGTTTCTGGAGTGTGACACTGACCACAAGTCAATTTCTGATCTGTGTCCTCCTCCTTTCTCTCAGAGCCACCCGCACCCCCACCCGCTGTCTCCCCACCCCCCCAACCCCCCCAGGGAGAGGCCACCCTGCCATATCTGTGTGTGATACTTTGCTTTGGTCCAGCCAAACAAATTAAATTTTCTTCAAAGGGCTCCCTCTGTGCCTTAAAATCACCCCCTGGATATGAATTCATTCAAATAGCAAGTGGTGTTCAACAGACCCAGCAGATCTGCCTGCTCAGGCTTTTATGGATTCACTAGCAGTTCTTGGAAACTGATGCCACAGTTGATAATTCACTATTCTGATACTTTGACACCAGATCATTCAAGGAATCTTTGCTTTCTTTGAGTAAGTCAGCAAAAATAATGGGCCAACTGCTATTCTCAGAAATGGCCTCCACAGGAACTCTGGCTGGTGATTGAGCCCCATGAACACACTAGCTGAACAGGGGGGCCCCTGTTCAGAGCATTTCAATTGAATTCTAATTCACAATTTTTTGGCTTCATTATATTAACCAATTAACTTATTCTTGACTCTATATATTCTTTTATCTTAATCTTCTTCAGATTGCCTTAAGTGATGTAAAGTCTGGCTTCAAAGGCTACTTCTCTCAAGGCTCCTGATAAACAGTTTAGCTGACTTCATCATAAGAGACTCTGTTCATATGATCTTACTTAACCAAACATAAGCTTGCAGGTAAAAGAAGACAGTAGTTCCATTTCCACAAAAAAGATTTAACAAAGTAACTTAAGTGACCTATGATGTGTGACCCAGATATGACACATCCACATAATTCAATCACTCTAGCAAAAGAAAATAATAATAATTTAATAAAGGAGCAAGAATTCATAACTGTAAAAGGGAAAGAGGGCTCTCATAGAAATCCACATAACACCTGGCATTCTGTGGTTTGATCCCTTATGATCAAAGTGATATCACTGAGCAGATGAAGACCATATGAAAATACAAATTTCAGAAAAGGCATCAATTATTTAAGACTTTCCTAAGATGCTGATTTAACTGTGTGACTGCAGAGGTGCACTTATTTTACAAATGCATATGGAAGCAGGAGTTTTCATCAAATGTTATTAATTTTTTTAAATTTTATTTTATAAATATATTTTTTATATTGTTCTTCATTTTGCACATTTTTTTCACCTCAGTTGTAATCCCCATGGATTTCCTACCACCATTTCACCCATGTGTCATCACCATAGTTCCGTGTGCTCTTCCCACTTCAGTTTTGATCTTGTTTCCCTCTCCTCCCTTGTAGAATGTCTCTAGTTTATAGTTGTTAGTTGATGTTCTTTTTTACTTTATTACAATTATATATATTTTTTTTTCTTGGTCCCTTACACTCCTGCTATGAGTGAAACCAACCAGTATTTTTCTTTTTCTTTCTGGCTTATTTCACTGAGCATAATCTTTTTCAGTTCCATCCATGTTGCTCCAAATGGCATGGGTTTATCTTCTTCGATTGCTGAGTAAAATTCTACTGTGTATATATACCACATCTTTTTGATCCAATATTTACAATAGGGAAGATATGGAAATGCCCAAAAATAGTTATTCAATTTTTAAAAAAGATTTATTTATTCATACAGAACTGGGGTATAGGCCAGAGGTGCAGTGGTGGTGAGAGGATTCACCAGAGACAGAGTGGGGAGCAGATCAATGAAATGCACTGCTTGAGGGGAGCAGCAGGTAGGTCAGGGGCAGTCTGCCCCACCATGTGGGTCACCTCCAGGGTGAGGATGGAACTCATGCTGAAATGGCTTTAGCTTCTTAGTGCTGTGCTTTAACCTGCTGCGCCACCAGGGAGGGCCCTATTCATTTATTTTATATCAAGTTTCCTTGAACATAAATAAAAAACAAAACAAGAGCTGTTAATGCATTGTCTCAATAAAAAAAGAACACTATAACTGAGGAAGCCAAGGCCCTCCCTGGTGGTGAAATAGGTTAAAGCACAGCACTATGAATCTATCGTGGCAACCTCCACACAAGTTCAATCCCCAGCCAGGGAGGTGACCCACATGGCACAGCAGACCTCTCCTGTTTCACCTGCTGCTCCTCTCAGCCGTAAACTTCATCTATCTGCCTGTACTGCTCTTCACTCTAACTATGGTGAATCTTCTCACCACCCATGAACCTCTGGCCTATATTCCAATTCTATATGCATAAATAAAAATAAACCTTAAAAAAAATTGAAGAAGCCAGGTGTTTCATTTGTATCATTAGACTGTCAAATGGTAAGTCACTTTAATTCAATAATGGTTTCACTTCTATTTTAGCCAATTCATGGAATGAAAGGAAAATGCTTGAAAGTTCTTCACCACATCTGAGCTTCCACAATTCAGTGGAGACCTTGAAGGTAGTGAAGCTCTTTCTGTGTCTATACCGCCCATGAGGCCAGATCACAGGGTGTGGTTCAACAGGTCTCAAAGAGCCATCTTATTTAAGATCCAACTGTAATGTAATTATTAATATTTGGGATCCACAGACTCCTTTAGAAACATCTGAAATTCATTTGTAAGCCCTGCTCAGAAAATATGCATTTTAGAGGATTTCAATGATTATAAATTTCTCATATATTAGAAAATGAGGAAACCAACTATATTGAATAATAGAAATGAAGTACTAAAACAAACAAGTCTCAGAGACCAAGACTTTAAATTAGAAAATAGAAGCACAAACCAGAAATTAAAACTCTTACTTCCAAAGGAAATACAATTGCTCCCAAAATCACCTTGAAGGAAAAGCTGAATTACCATGTACATTGATGCTCAGGATCCTGAAAATCATAGTGAACAGTAAGTCTGCAAACTGAATCAGAGAGTAGGATTCTAATTCCAACTCCAGTCTCAGTTCTGCTACTAGTCAGCTGAATGCTTTGGGGCAAGGAGCCTTTGAAGGCTTGTTTCTATTTTTAAAATGAGGTATTGTACAAGAAGTATTTACAAAGCACAAAAAGTACTTCTTGATGTGTAAACAGAAAAGACTTAAAAAACTTTAAGTATTTCCCTTTCGTGTTGTGAATGTATCAGTATAGCACTAAAGCAGAGTATAAGAAAACTCTTAAGATAAAGTTATGAAGTCTCTCAATACAAATGACTATTACTTTAACTATCTGTGTCTCAGTCCCCTCTTAGGTAAAGGAAACAGCACCACCACCGACCTCCTTGAATGATTTACTACACACAGTGCACACAGAACAATGCCTGGCACATCGGACGTGCTGTTTAAATGTTGACTATCATCATCTAGGTTGGTGGATTATCTGCCCTCCTCCTGCCGTCATCTGCACAAACAGGAACATAGAACCTTGGCCGGACACAGGCCACCAGCAGAGAACCTGCAACAGCTGTAGAGCCCCCTCCACTAACAAGCGGGCAGAACCTGCAACAGCTGTAGAGCCCCCTCCACTAACAAGCGGGCGGGGAGCCTCCTCAGCCCAAACCAGGTGCACACACCGCAGACGCTTCCGGCAGTCTACAGCTCCGGCTGTGAGGTCCAGGTACCGCGTGAGACTCCTTGCCCCTCGGCCCACAGACATCCACTGCGAACCAAGCCCGAGGTATTGTACAGGTGCCACAGTGCCTGGACACTGCCTAATGGAAGGCCAAGAGAGTGAGGTGGGGTCGGGAAGAGGGAGAAAGGAGGAGGAATCGGAGCTGCTGCGTTACTGCTAGTAGGTAAAAGGGGGCCCTCCCTGGTGGCGCAACGGGTTAGCAGGCAGCATTGCAAGCAAGCCGCAGCCGCCTCGATCCCCAGCGAGGAGCTGACCCACATGGCGCAGCTGGCCTCTCCTGACCAGCTCACTGCTCCCCACCCGCCCGCTACTCCCCTCAGCAGTGTACTTTATCAATCTTCCCATTCTTCCCATTCTGCTTCCTGCTCTGTCTCTCGTTAAGGCTCTCAGCCACCCCTGGACCTCTGGCTTGTACCTCAGTTCTGTATGTAGAAATAAATAAATAAATTTAAACACACACACAAGAATATGTAAAAGGGGGGAAAGCAGAGTGATTTTATCCATGTGCCATGGTAGAGAAAGTTGTTTATTTCTAGCAGCCTCGGTGTCAGGTTTGCGTTCCTTCTCCACCAAGAAAGTCTTATTTATTGTTTTGTATTTATAAATTACAAGGTTTTGGTTAGCTAACTAAAAAATCAACCATATTAACGTAAAAGTGAGTTAAAAATGGAAAACATCCTGTTGATAAGTCAGGAGACTGCCTTTACTGGCATGGTTTTGGTCACACTGATATTCTCATAGATATAAAAGCATATTTGAATTAACATTGTTACTCTCCCATATTAAAAATAAAAATAGTCAAACAAGTACTAGGTCTCATTGAGTAGTATTTGTGGCTAAATTTATTTTTGGCAAAATGTTGCTTACAGTTTCAGAAAAAAATAAATGTATCAAAATTATTTACTTCTTCTAGGCTTCATTTACTGTGAAAGATATGGGAGTAAAATTGCACTTAAGTATACACATTATACTAACTCGAAGAAAAATTCAATTTTAAGAGACACTGACTGATCCACCAACTTGTAACACTGGAATATACTATCTCATCAACACTGAGAGTTTCCATATGGATGTATTTGCACATATTTTTGTATTAAAACTTTCCCTTAGTATGTGAAATTATATATTTGTTGTAATTATACTTCCTTAATTTTTTTTATTATCATTAAAAGTTACCTTAAATAAAACTGAAATGATTCTCTTAAAGTTAAGTGAAAAGGAAGGATAATGCATCACATGAGATTATTCCCGTATTTTTTAAAGTTGATACTTACTATTAGAAGTCAGGATCCCAAATATCATATTAGCATTTCTTCTGACAATTTTGTCTTCATGGGTGAGCAGTTTAGTTAAAGGTTCCACAGCTCCAAGTTCAAGGAGAGTTGCTTTATTTTCCTCACCTGACATTACAGGTAAAAGAAAATCATACATGGGCACCAATCATAGAATCCCTTTGTCATTCCAATTCTCACTTGCCATTTGCCTTTCACATTCCTTTGCCTCCACATTTACCCTATTTACTCCTCTCAGAATAAGCTTAAAGTCACAGGCGCCAGGACATGTGCTGCTTCCCGCTCCTGCCTGATGTCTACAAACCTGCTTCCTCTCCTCACTCAGTTCTTAGCACACACAGCTTTTCAGAGGAGTCTTTCCTGACCACACTATCGAGTGCTAACTCCATGTTGCAGCTGATCTTATCCCTCTTTACCCTACTGTATTTTCTTCATTACTTTCTGACCTCCAAGCTGTTTGCCTGAGCTTCACTTTGCCTGAGGACAGATACCCAGTCTGTTCTGTGCTCTTTAGCCCCAGTGTCTAGCATGGTGCCTGCCATTTGTGCAATCGTAACATCAATTGCATAACTGCATAATTAATCGTAAAAATTAATTACCATACATAGACCCCCTTCAAGTCCAATAGTATGTGATGGAGATTGGGGGCTCACTTTTCACCAGTGTGACTGCAGATGCTATGATGTCATGCAAGGTGAGCCTGTAGGCAGCATGGAGGCACATTGCACAGAGGTAATGGGGGACTGAACCCTTCTGAGATTGAACACAGAAGGACAGTGGTTAAGGCCTCAGCCTACTTTAACTGTAGAAGTAGCTTGTATTCTAGTGGGATATCACTCTGCAAATTTTAGAGTAATTTTAGCTTTTCAATTTTTTTTTTAAAGATTTATTTATTTGTACATACAGAACTGGGGTACAGGCCAGAGGCTTAGGGGCGGTGAGAGGCTTCACCAGAGACAGAGTGGGGAGCAGAACAGGCAGATCGACAAAGTACACTGCTGAGGGGAGCAGCGGGCTGGTCAGGAGAGGTCTGTCACCTCCGGGGCAGGCGGGAATCGAACTCATGTGGAAGTGGCTTTAGCTTCTCAGTGCAGTGCTTTAACCCGCTGCACCACCAGAGAGGGCCTAGCTTTTCAATTTTACTGAAAATATAGGTTTCACCTTCAAAGTTAAATTGAGAGTAAAAGGTCAACTAACACTTTTCACCTCATTTCCCTCATATAATTCTTTTATATTTCAAGTATAGGTTCATATTCTAAACACACAGAGTTCTTAGACAAAGATTAGGTCTTCTTGTAGCTCATGGAATTTCCTTGTAGTGAAATGGTTAAATCTGGTCACTATATTGAAATACGCATTTTTGACTATTTGAATTTCCTTTTTCAATACTTTCATAATATTTGTATTTTAATGGAGTCAGAAAGGTCAACTTCTTAAATGAAACTATTTTGTAAAATAAATTTTAATTTAAGATAAATTTTTGGATATGGAAAAAATTTCACCAGATTATTATAAAATTTAATATTTTGCCTTTATATTTTCTTTATAACTTGTAATTTGAATTACACATTTCTTCACTAAGACACATTTATCATTTTTTAAATGATAGCATATATTTAATTTCAAGACTGCAGTAAAGAATTTTCAAAATTAATAACATGTCCTCTTAGATTATGTATTTTTACTCTTTTCAGTGGATTTATCGAGGTTTGATTTACATACAATTATCAGTACATATTTAATGAGAACAATTGTTAAGTATTGCTGTGTTTGGACACCCACAAAATCAACACCATTTTTATGATAACACTACCTAATACTCCCCATTGTCTGCCTCTTAACACTTTATAACTCTTCCTTTGTCCCATAAATTACACTGCATTCCCAATAACTTTCTATAATGGGATAAATAATAATGAGTACACTAAATAATGAGTATGCAATATGTACTCATTATTATTTCATTTTGTTCACTCACTTGTATATTATAAGTTATTCTTTAATCTGGACAAAAATGCATATTTTTTTCATATGGATATCTCATTCTTCAAGAACTACTTATTGAGAGCCCTCCCCAGTGGCACAGCGGGTTGGAGCATTGCACTGAGAAGCTAAGTCAAACCAAGCTGTGGCCACCTCAATGAGAGTTCGATCCCCGGCCTGGGAGGTGATCCACTGGTGCAGCATTCCTCCCCTACTTAGCCCGCTGCTCCCCTCAGTAGTGTACTTTGTCAATCTGTCTGTTCTGCTCCCCACTGTTTCTGGTGAATCCTCTCACCACCCATGCACCTCTGGCCTGTACCCCATCTCTGTATGTGTAAATAAATAAAATCTTAAAAAAAAAAACTACTTATTGAAAATTCTTTTCTACACTGACTTGCTTTTGTTGAAAAAAACTGTCCATATATATATGTGGGTCTCTGTTCAATTCCACTGACTTGTTTATCTTTGGGATGATAGCAATGCTTATGGTGGACTAAAATATAAAGTTGAATCTGATAGTACAATTTCTTAAACTTTGTTATTTTTCAAAATTACTTTGACTGAAATAAAAATATTTGCATTTCTGTGCACTTAATGAATTTAATAATTTGCCTATTTCTAAGGCCAGAAAGAAAAGGAAAAATACCAGATGGTTTCACTCATAGAAGAAGCATAAAGGACCAGGGGAAAATAATAATAATAATAATGAACAACTATATACCAGAGACATTTTGCGGGGGTGGAGTTAGAAATGGGATCAAAAATGGTCTGGTGGTGGGGGCAGCTGAATGGGGCTATAGTGATGGCACATGGGTAAATTGGTGATGGGAAGGCCACAGGGATTACAACTGAGAGGGAAAAAGGCACAAAATGATGTAAAAATAAACTGTTATAATAAAGTAAAAAATTGTCTATTTCTAAAAAACAACTTGCTAAAACTGTGATAGCAATTGCATTGAAACTACAATCATTATGGGGAGAAATGTATCTTTAAAACTGACATCTTCTACTCCTTGAATAAACATCTCTTCCATTCATTTAGATTTCTTTCAGAAATATTTTGTACTTTTTAATATATAGGCCTTATAATATATTTTGTCAGATTTACCCTACATATTTCAAATATTTTGCTGTCATATTTCATGTATTTTTCTAAACTGCCAGAATTTCTACATTGCTAGTACATAGAAAAGCTATTGACTTTTGAATTTTGATTTTGTGTCCTGAAATTTTACACATTAGTTCTAGTACCTTTAGTATATATTCAATAGAAATATGTATATATATGCGTAAAATACCCAATTTTCTAAAAGTCAACTGAAGTTACTTTCTTTTTTAATCTACATGCCTTTTTATAACTTTTTCTTTCCTGATTATATTGAGTAGGCCCTCATATATAATGCTGAAGAAAAGCAGTAAAAGCAGGCACTCTTCTTGTTCCTAATCTGAGAAGGAAAGCATTTAGTCTTTCACCATTAAGTATGAGATCGTATAGACAGGAGTATTTCATAAATACCACTATTGTATAGTTGAAGTTTGTGTCAACTCTTGTTTGCTGAAATATTTTCTCAGGAATGGGTATTGGATTTGATAAAATATGTTTTATATTTATTGAAATAATAATATTTTCTTTCAAAAATATGAAGTATTAATTTCTAGTACTGTTATAATAAATTACCACAAGTTTAGTAATTTAAAATATAAATTTGTCATCTTATATAATTCTATATATAAACCATAGATTAGTTATCTATGATCTAGAAGTCAGAAGCCTGAAATAGGTCTTGATGAGTGTTGTCAAGTCTATGTTTCTTAAAGCTCCAGGGGAGAATTTATTTTCTTTTCTGCTTCTGTGAGCTAGATACATTATTGTCAGGTAGTACATTAAATGATAGTCTGGTTATCAGAAAGAATTTTTCTGACAATAACTTAGTTAAGCACTAGGGAGAAAAGTATCCATTATGTAGTAAAGATTTTAAGAAATTAAGGAAATAGAAAGATAAATTGAAAAAAAATCCAAACCTTTCAAAGCAAATCTATAAATTGCTTCACATGCTTTTGCCAAAATTTCTTCTTCTGGAGAATTAAGCATTAATACCACAGTTGCTAAATTTTTGCTTTCAATTATTAATGTATCAAACTGAAATGCAGAAAGAAAAATATCAGGCTTATCTTTGAGCATTGAAACTCACTTTTAAAATGAATGGCGTTATGAAAGTTAAAGAGAACAGAATCTTATAAAATGGATGTGGTCACTTCCCACTAAGTGTATTGTAAGGCTTTTATTTTAAAAAACAGCTAATAGAAACTTTTTAACACTGGTGGCTTTGGAATTCCTAGAGTATGGCATAAAAAGCAAAGAATTTCGGAATCTGATTTCTCCAATAGTCATACATTTAAGCTGCCAGAAGTTCAGCTTCCCTTTCTGTAAATGGGTTTAAAATACCCATCTCAACACACCATGGGGAGTACGGAAGATCATGTGCTGTGTATCACCTAGCCACACTCTAGCCCCAGGGCTCCTTCTCAAGAGATTTACCAACTGGTTCTACCGCATATTTTAGTGCACTACTGTGGTTAATAGTTTCCAAATTTCTCTTCCAGTTTTCATTCTCCCACATTATAGCTAAAGTGATTTCTTAAATATAAATCAGATGTCACTATCTCTCTATGGCAGGTCCTTCCACAATGTTGTCTCTCTTTCAACATTGTAATAACATTGGTGAGAAAAATAAAACAACTCCCAGAGGGGTCAATGTCTGCTGTGAAATTATCACGATGTCCCCATATCCGTGTGGGGTTTTCTCTGGGTAATCCAGTTTCTTTTCATCCCAAAGATCCATTCACTGTAAACTGTCTCTGTCTGAGTGGGAGTAGATGTTGGTGAAACATTATCCCCATGATGGAAGAGCTTTCTGCTCGGGGTTGGGTCCCACTTTCTACCCCACCTGCAATCCCTGTAACCTTGAACTAGAATAAGAGAGTTGGAAAAGGAATGAATGAACATAATCTATCCTTACAAAGTCCCTTGAACCTCCAGTAATCTTTTGAGAGTCATAGTCTTAGACCATCCTTACCACTTAAAACAGTTTCCCTTGCATTGTTTTCCACCAACCCCAATTCAGGATAAATTCCCTTCCTTTTAGAAACTTCACACCTTTAATATTTCAATGTTTCTAAGGCTAAATAAATACATTATGTTGAAGCATAGAAATATCAGGATCTCTACAAAATTCTCAAAGTAGCAATGTAGATGATAATACATGTAAATAAAAACTGTAATAACTAGCCCTTTAATCTCCTTCAACAGTTTAGAAAACTGTAGTATTTTACCATATCTCTGGTCATCATTTTGAAAAGGTGACATGAGGGACTTAAAAGGGAAGACTGAGACTGTGAGAATCATCAAATAAGAAATACCAATATTTGGCAGAGAAAAAAGAAACTTGGCAGGATATTTGTTTCTCCTACAGAGCCTACAGCATTTTAGTAATTTTTTATATAAAAAGGCACTGAGAATAAAATAATAGCTATCACAGAAGGCCACATAACTAAATAAATAATACTGTGCTAAAATTAAATATCCCATCTGCTCTTTCTGATCGCAACAAGCTGGTTGTGAAAATATAATTTCACAGCCTTCACAAAATAAACAATGAATCAAAATTATTTACAAAAAGAATGAAAAAAAAAAGCATTTGGGGTAAGTTTTTAATTTTTAAATACAGTCAGTTAGAGAAGCTATAGACATAGATATCTTTATGTCTCTTTCTTAATAAGACTTCTAGAATAGTGCTGTCCAACAGGACTTAAAGGGTGAAAATATCTGCATTCTGCATAATCCGGTATGGCAATCAGTCACAAGTCCCATTTGGCTTTTGAGCACCTAAAGTATAATTAATACAACTAAAAAACTGATTTATTTTTATTATCTAATTGTTAACCTCAATTAATATAGCTTTAATAAGACAAATTGGGTTAAGTGCAAAAGACTTAAGTAAATGACCTCTAGTTTTCTTTCTCTACAACCTGAATCAAATAACAAAACTTTTTCATAGAAAGATGAGTAAGCTAAAAATTATTTATATGGTTTTGTATATTATTTATAAATGTATAGCATATTTCATAAGTTCATGATGTATTTTTCATCTGTGATGGAGCAAGATGGGAAAACACGCTTCTGTGATTTGTGACTACTAGAAAAACATCTATGCAGTTTGGCAGTATATAAGACAAAAGAGAAAGGCTGTTCAAAGACTGGTGAACATCTGGGAGACATTTTGCTCTTCTCAGGAGCCAGATTTGATTACCCAGTGCTCACTGAGATTAGCTGCCCATGTTACCAGGTGAGAAAGAGAGAAGGTGATCATTAACATAATAAATGCTCAATTAACTTGACTCTTAATTAGAGCTAGGTCATAGTCTTTTGTGAATCTAGATACTATGGATTTTTCCAGAAAAGCTCACTCCTTCTGAACTATTAAGAGAATAAAAGTTCTATGCTCCTAATTTTGAAGACCTGACATAAATCACAGCAGCCATACACCACGCCTCTGGGCACTGGTCTTCCAGAGCTGATCCCCTGTCTCTGTGGACAGTCCACACAATCTCTGATAGTTTTGTAGAATTGAGAAAACCATCCTCAACTAAGTGAATAATAACATCATTTCCTAAGTTCTTACCTAGCTCCAGGCACTGTTCTAAGAATCATCCACTTACGTCACTGAGTAGATGTGACATGGGTCTATATCATTGTATCCTCAGGGGTATACAGAGATTAGCCAGTTTGTCTCTGATCATAGATGGTGGGTGACAGAATAAGGATTCAGACTCTGGTAGAATAACTCTGGAGCCTCTCCTCTTATTCACTGAAAAGCTTGCTGTATACTAAATATGGTCTCTAGTTTCTATTTCTAGTAACGTTAATGCAATCATTCCACCAGCAGTAAAGTTTTATTAAAGCATCAGCAACAACACCTTAGCCAGACATGGGAATGATTCGAAGACAAAATGTAGCTGGAATGCTCATTCAAGCAATATCTACCCCAATATGGCCATCTTCTTAGCTAGTGTTACTAGTGTTCCCCTTCCTGTGAACAAACACGCACATAGCAATGTATATACTGGCAGTAAGAATCTTTTAAAAAGCGGTGAGTTCTTTAATTAATTTTAATAAGATCACCAAACATTCTTCTTTCTGTTCCCCACTTTAATAACAGTAGGGGAAAGTCTAACAAAAATTAAAACAATTGCGAACTATTTTTTAAAGTAAGAAGCAAATCACCATTTAGTTCACATGGAAAAATTTATGTTCTCAAAGTTTTAAATTCCCTCTCCAAACTTTTGTTTTCGTTTGTAATTTGCACAATAAAACGTTCATAGCCTTTGAAGAAGTCTCAGAGTAAATTCCAAGTTACTTTAAATTATGATATATTGCTTTGAAGCACTCAAGTTTAAAAAGCTAGAAAAGCAATTACACATTTGAATACTACTTTACAAAAAGGCTGAGTAGGGGAAGGATGGCCAAATCCTTGGGAAAGATAATAACAAAAAATATTAGTAAATGTTTTTATGCCTGGTTGTTGCCACAGCTACTGGGGACAGAGCTACAGTTTTGCTAATGCTGGGAGTGTAATTGTTACTCAAGTCTGTGACTGTGTCCCCCAAGAAATGATATATGGAGGACAATACTAACAAGACATTATAAAATTACAGAAAGTGTACTGCTAGACAGTTATATTGATTATTTAACAGTTCTTAACTCAAATTAAAAAAAATATTTATTTATACATACAGAATGGGGGGGGCAGAGGTGCAGCGGCAGTGAGAGGATTCACCAGAGACAGAGTGGGGAACAGAACAGGCAGATCGACGAAGTACACTGCTGAGGGGAGCAGCAGGCATTTCAAGAGAGGTCTGCCTTGCAATGTGGGATCAAGCTGGCATGAAGCTGCTGCTGCTCGCTTGCAGTGCTGCGTCCTAACCCATTGAGCCACCAGGGAGGAACCTGAACTTGAATTTTAATTAAAATTAAAAAATTAAAAAGTGTTTATCATCATGTACTGAGTTCATGAGTCAAATTTCTAGTGATATGACGTCAATAATACTATTTTAAAACAAAAAGAGTTAATACAAAGCTAGGTGGCAATGAAAAACTAAAAGAATTTGCAACATTTTGGAATAGGTGCACAGGTGAGCAGCAGACTAAAGAAACGCTATCAGAAAACTGAAATGACCATTTCTACAGAGCTTCCCTGGACCTGGGCAGACAAATGCTTCTGTAGCCTTTGTTCCCTAATATTTGAAGGAGATTAGTATGTAAGTTGCTACTTTGTGTGTTTGGGGGGGGAGGGGGAGGAGGATTCCCAAAATAATATATCTTGTTTACTGTTAACTATATGCCAGGCTTTGAGAATTTCTGTGCTAATTCCATTTTGGAGATTAAAAAAGAGAGGCCCAGTGCACTGGACTATGGTGATGGCACAGGGGTGATTTGGTGATGGGAAGCCCACAGGGATTACAACTGAGATGGAAAAGGCACAAGATGATGTAAAAATAAACTATTATACACAGTTGGTGCAACAACTATATTATATATAGATGGTGCAACAGGTTAGGATGCAGCACTGCAAGTGAGCCCGCTGCGCTTCAGTGCGATTTTGATCCAGCCCTGAAGGTGATCCACATGGCGCAGCCACATGGCGCGGCAGACCTCTCCTGACCCGTCCGCTGCTCTCCTCAGCAGTATACTCTGTCGATCTGCCTGTTCTGCTCCCCGCTCTGACCCTGGTGAGTCCTCTCACCTCTGGCCTATCCCTCAGTTCTGTATACACAAAAAGAAAATCTTAAAAAAATTTAAAAAATGAAATAACTTGGACAAGCTTGGCAGCTTCACCACCAGGTCTGAAAGAGGCAGAGCTATGACAAGCTCGCTTGTTACCTCCATGGTCCAGAACTGCCAGGGAAATTCTAATACTGAACTCAGTGTCCTTCAAGCTGCAAAGCCCTTGAATCTGTTGACTATACTCATTTTTTTCTTCATTAATATTTTATTTGATGAAAAACATAGCAAATGTCTGCTTTAAAATAAAGTTCTAAGTCAAAATTGTTCAAGGTCATTTTCTACTTGTAAAATATTTCTTTGTAATTTTAAGAAAGAAGTTGAAACCAAGCATTTACATGAGAGAGATGGGGCTTTGTGCTGTGGGTAGGCATTGCTAAGCCTCTGGCATAAAAATGATGAGCCCAGAGTTCTGGAAAACACAAGACTTCTAATGTCCAAATGGTCATCTTTAGAAAACCTTATGTAATACATATCCAGTACTACAGCACAACTTCTAATATTTTTGGAAACTCACTTGGATAATTAACATTAATAAGAGTCTAGTAAATATTAACTATTTAAGAGAGTAATCAAAAATATTTATTGGCTAGGCTTATAAACATGCCATCCACATAGTGGGAAAGCTAATTACTCCCTAATTGTGGTAATTCTGTAAATGTGTGTTTATATTAGATTTCTCTGAGTAATCTTATCATTACTCAGACTTTGGACTTCTGCCACCATATACTCATGTGCATACTGGTACATGCCACACTGAACAATTTATTTTTATTTTTTAAAATATCTATTTATTTATTTGTACAGAACTGGGGTACAGGCCAGAGATGCGGAGGGTGAGAGGCTGCACCAGAGACAGAGTGGGGAGCAAAACAGGCAGATATACGAAGTACACTGCTGAGAGGAGCAGCCGGCGGGTCAGGAGAGGTCTGCTGCGCCATGTGGGTCACCTCCTGGGCTGTGGAAGTGGAAGTGGCTTTAGCTTCTCAGTGCTGTGCTTTAATCCACTGCACCACCAGGGAGGGCCAGGGCCTGAACAACTTATTTTTAAAACCATTGTCAATGGCGGGCCACTTCCGCATGAGTTCAATCCTGCCTGCCCTGGAGGTGACCACATGGCGTGGCAGACCTCTCCTGACCCGCCCACTGCTCCCCTCAGCAGTGTACTTCGTAGATCTGCCTGTTCTGCTCCCCACTCTGTCTCTGGTGAAGCCTCTCACCCTCCGCATCTCTGGCCTGTACCCCAGTTCTGTATGTATAAATAAATAAATATTTTAAAAAAAAAAACAACATTGTTAATGGCAACTAGCATTCAAATCAGAAACTTACCACATCCTTACGAGGAGGTTCTGCTTCCTTCTTTATCTTTTTACCCATCCTGGAAGAAGATACTATCAGTGATTAAAGTGTCCTTTGTACATTTTTACATACACACATATTCTGGGCTACTATGCCTCAGGAGGAGATTAATTTCTTCCTTTAAAATTTACCTAAAAGTACACAATAAAAAAAATGTACATCTTATTGCACATGAACAAATACATTACCTACATCACTATTTCAAGCTCTACAATTTTAAAGAGACTGATAAAATTGTTGGATATTGGTCCTAGCTTCCAGTTTGAAAAGAGGAAATATAATACTAACATAACTTTTACTTACATAATGGAAATGGTTTATAGATTCACATAGGGCTTGGGAGACAAAATCCAAGTGACTTTTGAGATTTGCAATGTTTTGTCACAGAGGAGGGATTTTTGTGTTCTTCCTGGCACTGATCTACCCTAAGAACAGCGTCTGGTACATGGTAGGCATTCAATATTTATAAAAATCATTATCTCTGTATTTCCTGAAGCAGTGTTTTCTGAATCTGATTCCCAAGATCACAGCTCCACATTAACATTTGTGCTCTTCCCCTACTTTTAGTGCAGTTAAAGTTCAAGATCTTTAAGGGACCAGGCTGTGTTGCACGACTTCACATTATTGTATATGTGAAGTCCCTCACTAAATATGATCTCCATCAAAAACTTTTTGAAATTTTGCCTGTGAAATGACCTAGCAATCAGTTTGAACATCTGAAAATTGTTGCAAATGAGAAAATATTTTCAAATGAAATAGAATTTTAATATTAATAAAACTTTGTCTATAACATAATTTTCCACTTTATTTTCGTGTTTTTGAACCAATTTTTCTTTATCCAATCTCAGCATCATAAATAGCTGCTTGTAGAGCTCTGGTGGCACAACTGGTTAAAGCACTGCACTGTGATGCTATTGCAGCCAGGGATCCCTGGCCAGGGAGGAGTCCACATGGCACCACAGACCTCTCCTAACCTGCCTGCTGCTCTCCTCAGCAGTGCACTTCATCAGCCTGCCTGTTCTGCTCCCCACTCTGTCTTCGGTGAATCCTCTTACCGCCCCTGCGCCTCTGACCTGTACCCCAGTTCTGTGTGCATAAATAAATAAATCTTAAAAGAAAGAAAGAAAAGCTCTGGTACTTGAACTTATACCTATATTGTTTCAAGCAGCCAGACAGAAACTATAGACAGATGAAAATCTATCTTAAATAATCAATAGGGACAAAAGAAATTTCATAGCTCTTTATAACCAGTTCCAAGATACAATGCCCTTTGATTTGCAAAAGAATTCCTAACAAATTATATTCGAGAACCAATTAAATTACACTGGCATAAGCTGCTTTAAATCATCCCATTTTCACTCAAACATTTCAGGGTGAGGGCTTTTAGTAACTGCACATTGAAGGCAATAAAGAATAAAAGCTTGAATTTAGAGGACTGTGGTGATGGAAATGGTCACAGGCTCTGCTGTGCAGTATTAAGTGCTTAGCCTGTATCTTTATTACCATATTGGGTACAACTAATTGGGGAGAAAGTTTATAACTGACATAGGTCAAGGCAGTGAGCTACAGAAATGACCTTAAGGATTTAAAGTAGGTTCACAAATGCAACATTTCACTTAAAATTCACTTAAAAACAACTAAATTACCTTTATATTATTCTTTGAAGATGAGTTTTCCTTTAAAGCCACAGGAATGTCAATTACGAAAATAATTTCTTTTAACTTTTTAAAGTAAATTAACCATTTGCCTTTACAATTTTATACCATTTGTTTTTTTTTCCTAAAATATACATAAGATCAACCATTTAAACATAATTAAGTATAGTTCTGTGTCAGGTGTCCAGTTATATGGGTAATGCACTATAGAAAACTGGAAAAGTGAAGCAGGATACATGTAATAAAATAAAAACAAATGAGAAATACAGGGAAATCAGGATCACTTCAAAATAGTTCCTTATGTCTATGCTTTCTGGATTTTATGATCCCACCTCTACTTCTATCCCCTGTTCTCAAGTTCTATCCTGGGACTATTTTCTACTAAATTCTTAAATTAATGGACTAGTTCATGAAATCTCAGTCTCCATGTATTGATCTAATCATCTTCAATGGGTGAGCTACAATGTCATTTAGAACGATACTTTAGAACCCTCTGTCTAGTCATCTTCCTGTTATTGAGCATGTTTTCAATTTTCTGAAATCATGGACAAGTCTACAATGAACAAATACTCTTACCCATAAATTTTACCCGAATGCCCACATAGGCATTTGTTTCTTTAAGATAAATCCTAAGTTAGTAAAATCAGTGAATGAAAATATAGGAACTTCATGGCATGTGTATAGAAGCTTGTTTGATGTAAATTTGCATTTTCCAGATTATTGGAGTCATCACCTTATTTCATAACTTTATCAATCTCATATTTCTTTGCGAACTTTCAAATGTATAGCTTTTAATGTTTGCTAGTGGGGTGAGACTCTTGAGGAGATTTAAAGGAGGGAGGGCTAGAACAAATGGGAAGCCACTTCTTGAATTGCTCCCAGTCAAGCAAAAGAATCTTGGATACTTAGATTCCTTTCCAGGCCTCAGTTAAATGAGGTGGCCAGAAAAATATTCAGTTCTACATGAAAAACTAAAGCCTTTCTTTTTAAATGAAACTAGTTATAATATCACATTTCTATAAAGCTATTAAAAACGCTAACCATTCCCAGGTTCATAAATGTCCATTATTACCCTCTACATCTGAAATAGATTTATATTTAATTTTCTTTTGATTTGTCTTTAATTTTGTTGGAATGTTTTTAAAATTTCATAATTACTAGTAAAAAAACTATATTATTTACTATATTTTTTCATTATAATAGTTACATTAGACAAACTTTTATGAGCCTAACCAAAATAAATAAATAAATAAACGGAGGTGGCCGGGATGCTTATGAAACCCACCCTGAACCCTGTCTAACACTGTGGACTGACGACCCCTACAAGAAGTTCCTTCTCTCAGTTGTCCTGAAGGTTCTCTCCGGCGGGGCACCTTCTCGTTCCCCAGGCTTTTCTGGAGCCTTAACCCTGGTCCTCTCCAAACCAGAGGTTAACAGGCAGCCTCCAACCTGCCTTTACCTTCCAGAAGATGCAGCCAATCAACTGCTCCTCAGAACTCACCAGTGTACCAGAGGCTGCCTAGGTGAGGCTCCCAGGCCACTGTTGTCCCTGGTTGCTACGCAACCCCTGGGCGCGCCTGTTTATGACGTATGGGCACTCAGTGCGGACTAGAATCATGGGTTGTTCTGTCTGTTCATCGTGGTCACTATGGGGAAAGAACAATGTTGGTCCTGTGTTCTCTGCGTTCCGTGCTTTGGGGCTGGTTAGACACTTGGACTCCTCTTCCTAGCTGTGGAGGGCCGGCCCAGGTGAACACCGTGAATCAGCTGACACTGCAGCTTCAGCGGAGGCCAGGCTGTGGAGTCGCACACTGTGATGCTACTGCACTCTCCCAAAGACTGGCCTCAGCAGCAGTCTTTGTTGACTCCCAAACTGTCCAAACTTCTTAAGTTGCCACCTGCATTGCCAACTTTCAGTGCACTAGGGTGTCCCCAGAGAACATACCATTTCCCTTCAAAGCACTGCTTTCTCCTTTCTACCAAGCCCCCAACTCCAATCATTTGTCCTCTATGTATATTCCCTCTCTTAAATCCTTACTGACATTCCAGCCCAGGTCTTCATCTTTGACAGTCTGATTGTCTTCCCATCTTTCTGTATAACACAGATTACATTTCCAAAAATCACTGCTCTGGTTATTTTTCTTCCCTCTCCAAAATTCAGAGGCTTCCTGGTACTCAAATCTCTCTGCCCCATACCCATTCCATTTGTACAGCACTTACCACCACACAAGTCCCAGCCAAACTTACTGGATCCCAATTTTCCCTATATTTTTCTCTGATTTTTGGTCACTGTTCCTCCATCCTTTCATCTATTCAACATCTATCATCTCTTATTTATCAGGTCCTGTGTAATTTCAAAACAGTGAGGAGAACCTCTGAGACGGTAGGTAGCACTCCTTGCACTAGGTGGTAGACTCCACCCTCTATGTTCCAGATTCTACCCCTTGATTAGGGGCTGATGGCAAAGGGTTGAGTTGGGGCTTTGACACTTAAACTGTAAGTGCTTTGGCAGTTTTAAGGCTGTGGGAAGATAGCAGTAAACTGTGAGAGAAACAATAGCAATCTGCAAGTAGTGGGCAGTGATCAAAGTCAACTTGATAGCAGAAGATGAGCCTAGTTAGTGTCTACCCTTTGGTGTCAACTTCATTGTAGAAGGTGTTTAAAGCTCCACCTTCTGAATGGGGGCTGATGGGAAATAAGAGCAGAGCTAAGGTTTTGGGCAGTTAAATTATAAAGGCTTCAGGCAATTAAAACTACTAGCTTTTAGTCAGTTAAGCTGCTGGGGTATATGGGAAGTTAAAATTGCTGAGGCTCTTGAGCAGATAAACTTCTGAGGCTTTTGATAGTTAAGCCACTGGTGAGGAAGAATGTCTTTGGGGACATCAGTTTGCCATGGATGGTTCTTGGCACAGACCTCAGACACTAGCTATAGCGTCTGCTGGGATTCTAAAACTCTAAACTTGTTGCTGTCTCTGAATTACTAAGTATAATTAGAATTAAGTCAGCCATCCTACATCCCATACTCTTTGTCCACCACACTGTGCTATGGCAGTAGCCATTTGTTGTGTCAAAATTGTAACCACTAGGTACTTCTTTGTAGGAAACCACAGGTCTCAGTGAGACATTCTTTAAAAAAACAAGCAGGTCTTCACTGTTTTCAAGTTCACCCAGATCAAACAGCCATGTCTGGCTGCTATCATGTTGTCCTTTGAAATTCCATTGCAGACAACAAATATATTCTAGATAGCAGGGATTTAGAGACTTACAGGATTGATGAAAGAGATCAAGAAACAGACTCCAGGCTGAACTTTTAGAATTATTCACAATCACTGAAACATAACAACAACCTATTACATGTCCTTC